AGGACAGGGCTAGATTTGGAAAGCAGATGTGTGCAGCTCTGAGAACTTCGTATCACACACCAAAAACAGAGCTTATTTTTCACACCGAGCTTTACTTACTCAAAGGCACAGAGTAAGGACTATGTAGGAGATGTCTGCTCAACAATTATCACTGAAAATACTGTTCCTTCAAACAATGTTGTTGCTAGGTGTTGATGAGTCTGCCTCCTGGTGACCCCGTGGGACAGAGTAGAACTGCCCCAATAGGTTTGTCTAGTCTGTGATTTTTCCATGAAGCAGATCACCAAGTGTCCCCACTGAGGAGGAACTGCTGGCTGGGTTCGAACCACCAACTTTTCAGTGAGTAGCTGAGCTCTTAACCAATATCTTAACCACGTGACAGTGCAGAGTGGTTCAGGAGGGGACTGTGTTGATGGGGCAATGTGGGCCCTGCTTTCTCTGGGCTCCAGCAGGGACGTGGAAGTAAGAAAATGTTCCCAGGAGAACAAAGAAGTAGTCACAGGAAGTGGTGATGGGAGGGGGTGGAGAGCAAAGAAGGGACATTTCAATGGAAGCCCGGAGCTGGCTATCCAGAACTAGGATCAGAAGGAAATGTCGGAAGGAGGCTGGGGTGTCTGAAGACCACACACCTAAGAAGCTGGGTGGGAGCAGCCTGGAGTGATGGGTGCAGACCTGCAGGGGTGGGCCACTGGGATGCTGAGGGAGAGGGGGAGGATCAGGCCTGAGACCCTTTGGAGGCTAAACTTTCCTTCACACTTTTCCTTTTAGCTGCAAAGTAAACAGAGGGCTTTGGAGGATTAAACAGAAGACAGCAGAGATGTGGTGTTTGAGAATTCCATTCCAGGAGGAAGCACCAAACTGAAGATGGCAGGGGACTGAGTAGGGGGACAGTCCGGAGGCAGTAAGGGTCCCCCTTTCCTCCCCACTGCCCAGGACTATGGAAAGCCAATAAGGTAAAGAAATAGACAATTGTCCAATGAAATCTGAATGTTAAGTTGCGTTTATCTGAATAGACGAAGAGGTGGGGGGAAGACCCTGAATTATCTGGAAAGGAATTATACCCCTCCCTTATTAGATTGCCTTACCCTGAGTATCAATGTGAAGCCTCTGATCAATTTCTGAGGCCCTTTTTCCTGAATGAGTTGGGTCTCCTTTGGCCCCTCTCAATGCTGGATGCCAGATCCTGCCAGAAACCACAGTGAAGGCAGCAGAGGGAACCGTGATTTATTCTGATAGTAGAAAAACTTGTCGGCATGGGTGGAGCCAGGGCAGGGAATGCAAATATCCAGTAATTCACAAGACATTCTGGCAGGCGGATCTTCCTTACACAAGTCACCCTGTTGGCTTCTACCGTTTTTTTTTCCAACTCAGGATGTAATTTTACTTTTCTTTTTGACAGAGAATGTAAGGATGAAAATTAATCTACTCCCATGGGTGAAACTCCACACAGGTTTATTATGACTACACCCTTGGAGTTAAGTTAGGTTCCTCTGTGTTTTTCCTTTCTAATGGTTTCAGGTTTCTTCCAACCACATCAAACTCAGTCCTGGGGGTTCCTGGGAGAACATCAAGGAAGACCTCGTCACTTACCAAGAGCAAGGTAACCTGTGTTCCCCTGGGGAAGGGAGAGAAGAGGACAGATGAGGACTTTCAATATCAATGAGGTCTATCAGTACGTCCCACTAATAAACGACTTTTTCAGTGTCCACACTATAATTGGTTTACAGCCTTTTTTGTTTATTTATCCATAAGAGCTGCTGTTAAATGGCTCGGGAAAGCGCTCTCCTAATGGCAGGGTAGCTCTCTCAGGCCTTGTGTAGGCGAGGTGACCTGGAGGGGGCCCTCCGCAGGCGTCAGCAAAGGCTTCAGAGCGGAAACGCATTTCACCTTTAATGGATTTGGCGATTTTATGATACCGGAGTTGTATGCACAGAACTGCAAATCGACTTCTTGCTCAGCAGAGAGTGTTTGTGGGATGTGTCTTTAAATGGCTGTGTGTGATGTCTGTTGTGAGGTGCTGTGGAACCACTGTGGACTCGTAGCCACTGACCTTCAGGTACGACAAAGGGAAACACTGCCTAGTCCTGAACCATCCTCACAATTGGTTCAATATTTGAGCCCAGTGTCGCAGCCACGGTGCCAATCCATCTCACTAAGGGTCTTCCTCTTTTTCACTGACCCTCCACTTTTCCAACAAGTCTACAGGGACAGGTTTCTCTGGATAATATGGCCAAAGTACTTGAGACAAATCTCGCCACACTAGCTTCTAAGGAGCATTCTGGCCGTAATTCTTCCAAGATAGATTTGTTCCTTCTTCATTCTTACGACAGTCTGTGGGTAGATTGTAATATATAATATATTAGAATATGTGAGTTAGCAATCCAAAAATTTAGATATGTCCAACCTAATAAAAATAGTGATAGCAACTGAGGTTTCATCATATGGTGGGCCTCTCCTTTAGGTAGCAAAGGGTAATTGTACAAGCGGTTCTGCACTGGGTATCACCGGCTTCCCCCACCCCACATCCACTCCCCTCGTGTGTGCTCCGTTTCTCAAGCCCCCCCCCCTTTTTTTTTTTTTTTTGCCAGAGAGCGAAGTGGGCGGATTTGCTTTCTGCTGAGTGTCTCTGTTCTTTCTGCAGGGCCGAGCAAAAATATTAAATGGGAGCAAATGAAGCATCGTAATGGACACCAATTAATAGAAATGCGCAATTAGACGAGATTTGCAAAGTAAACCCTCGGGTTAGGGGTGGCTGGAGAGGCGGGAAGCAGATGAGGTGGGGGCCGGTGGGTTACCCGGCGGGGGCTGGGAAAGGAAAGGTCCTGCTCATAACCTTGTAGCCAAGTCAACCCGCAGCGACCTGGCAGATTATCTCCGAAGGTCAACACGCAGCGGCCAGGCAACCCTCCCTCCGGATCGATGTGGTCACTCGCGGCCGGGTGATAGCCGCAGGTCCTCAGCGCTTGCAGTTAACAATGGGCTCATTGACGCGGACGCGCAGAGATTCGGTGCGCGGGTCCCACGGCCTTTCCCTCCCCAGTCTCTAGGGCCGCAGGTGGCCCTTTTCCCTGAAGAGATGACCAAACTTCGCTCCACCCGCCCACCCATCCGGGCTTCCCTAGCCTTTCGGAGAGAGTCAGAGAAGTTTGTGCGCGCGCCTTTCCAAACTCCCACCAGCACGCGATGCACCCTGCCTGACTCTGAAATTGAACCCCAGGACTGCATCGTAGCGCCCCGACAGGACTAGGGATCCCACAAGGCCAAACTCCCAAGTGACTTTCCGATTTTTATTTCAGTTTCTATGAATTGAGCGAAGATTTTCAGAGTGGATGACCAGTTTTACATTCAACATTTCATACATGGTTTTAATCCCCTCGATGTTTTTGTTTTCTCACATGAAAATGAAACGTCTTTCTGAAATGCAGTCTCAGTCTGTACCCATTTACCACAGAAATATTTCCACTACGAGAAACTATATTAAAATCGAACCTATCAAGGCCTGGATGTTTGTGTGTAATTTAGAAACGTCCGATTGCCGCAAAAGGACACGCAGTGATTTTCTCTTGGTTCCTAGGAACACACACTCTCACATATGGTGGAGCTTTTCTAAAACCCGTCGGCCTGTTTGGGAAACGTCACCATTTCGTCTGGGCCGGGTCGAAGGCTGGCTGCTGGGTAGGGAGCTGTCGGTCTTGCCCAGGCCTCTGGGGTTGAGGGTTACCACCATCCGGAGGCAGCCGAACTGTGACTGGTAGTCCAAAAAAGTGACATGGGGTACCTAGAAGTTACCGAAAAGGATGAAACCCAACAGTAACGCTGTCAGGAAATGCAGCATTTGGTGTCTTTTCTAAACACCCCTTATTTCAATCCATCTCTGGAGGCTACAAACTCCTTCAGACCATTCTGGCCTATCTCAGGATCTGAGGAAAAACAGACCAAAAACCAGACAGGCCCGCGCCTCCCAGGCACAAGACCCCACAACCACCCAGGCGCTATTTCTCCCCTCCCTATACACTGGGAAAAAAGGGTTCTGAGCCGACTAAGTGAGCCCCAGTTTATATAAAGTAAAATTAAGAATATCCTTCAAAATAAAACCGAGAGGGTAATTACTCTGGATGTTTCTAAAACTACTGTTTACATTCAGAAGTTTAAGAAAACCATCCACAGATAAAAATCATACCAGGAACATCCGATTAGTACTGTATGTGCGAATTCATTGATACCACTGACGGTTGTCAGCAAGTTTCAATAAATAAAATAGAGTAAAAACTAGTTCCAACCTAGAAAAGAGCAATGGACTGAAATTTTTCTTTTTACCATAGCCCCCAATAGTTAAAATAATAATAAAAAAGGTTCAAGCTACAATCTCAACCTATGTATACTTATAAATCATATTAATGAACTAATATTATCAAATCTCAATAGTTAAGTGCTCAACTGCTAACCGAAAGTTCGGAGTGGGGACCCACTTGGCAGTTCCGCGGAAGACAAGACCTGGAGAACTGCTCCCGTAAAGATGACCGCCTAGGGAATCCGAATGGGAAGTTCTACCCTCTCACAGGGTCGCTATGTGTTAGAACCAATTTGGTGGCACCCAACAACCACAACATTATTAAACATACCAAGAAACTAGAACCGCTTACAGTAGGTTGTCTCTACAGAACTACGTACACGTCCTACCACTTTCTCTGGCTTCCCGCTCGGGAGCGCGCTGCCAGCTGCGCACACGCGCTAACTCAGCTGAGGGAGAAAATGGCAACAAATGCAGGTGCTCCTAGGTCCTAGGGCGTCGCTTCTTAAGGCCGTCCGCAGGCCAATGGTGGCTCCTGACGACGCCACGTGGGGCACGGCGGAGCCTATGGCGCGGCGGCCAGGCCGTGGGTTCCCCCCCAAGAGCCGGGCCCGAGCTGTCAAAGCCAGCAGGGTGGCGCCGGAGCGGGAGCGCGGCACAGTGCCGAGTCCCCGGCTCTATTTCTCTGGTCCCCCGCTCGGCCGCAGCCATGAACGGCGAGGAGCCTTACTACGCGGTCCCACAGCTCTACAAGGACGCGTGTGTGTTTCAGCGCTGCCCAACGCCTGAGTGTCGCGCCAGCCCGCCCGCCTGCCTGTACATGGGCCGCCAGCCCCCGCCGCCGCCACCGCCCTTCGCCGCCGCCCTGGGCGCGCTGGAGCAGGGCAGCCCCCCAGACATCTCCCCGTTCGAGGTGCCCCCGCTGGCCGACGCCCCGGCTGCAGCACTCCTCCACCACCACCTCCCCGCGCCGCTGGCGCTGACTCAGCCGCCCGCCGGGCCCTTCGAGGAGGAACCCGGGCGCAGCCAGCTGCCTTTCCCGTGGATGAAGTCCACCAAAGCGCACGCGTGGAAAGGCCAGTGGTCAGGTAAGGCCGCTTCCCGCCAATTCACACGGCGGCTCCGACCGCCACTCTCGCTCGGGCCCACTCCCTTTCCCCATCTCCGCCCTGAGTATGCCCGGGCATTAGAGACCACCACCCGGCCAGCGTTTCCGAACCCGTTGTGTTGTCCGCCTAGAGCAAATCCTTCCTGGCGTGAACACTCAGCCCAGCTCCACCGCAGAGGCCGAAGCGCCAGGCACTGGCCCCGAGAGGCGGCCCCGGCAGCTCAGCGCTAGGACCTCGAGCTGGGATGCCCCAGCCCCGGGGGCTCCCTAAATGTGGTCAAGGCAGCGGAGCGGGCCCTTTGCCCCAAACCAGCCAGAGTTCCTGGAGCCCGCGCGCCATGGCGCTGGGGGGACCAGCAGGCCGTTTCAGGATCGCCCGGTAAACTGCAAACAAGTTGGGTAGAAAGTTTGGTGCCCAGCGTCCTTTCTCAGGGTGGGGGCAAAGCCGAAGACCAGCACTCGGCTGTGGAGCTGGGTATGGTGATCAAGCGGCATCTGAGAGCCGGGTGAGCAGGGAGCGCCGGCGGTCCCCCGCCTCTCTCCACTCCGGAGGCCCCAGTGCCCGCGCCGCGCTGGTCTTTTGCGCTTGAGCCGGCGACCAGTGTCGGCGCGGCCACACAATGTTATCGCTTCCGCGCCTCAGCTTTTGTGGTCACACCTGCACTGCAAACAGTGGAATTCGTGGGTTCCTTCCAACCCACAGTCAGGGGCCGGCCGGGAAGGTGGCTACAGAGGGCGCCCCCCAGACCTGGGAGCCCTGGCTGTTGCGCTGGCTCCGGGGGCGGTTAGCTCTAGGCCCAGCCTGCCTACGGCGCTGCCTCCGGAGGTCTAGTACCTACCAGACGGCGGCGGGTCTCAGGTGGCTGGGGCCGCCGGGCGAATCCCACCTTCATGTCCTCATGTCCCCTAACCCCCTGGCGGGCGGGGCACATGGCTGGGTGACTTCCCCAGGCTCGCGGCTGCGTGTCCCCAGCCTCCAAGCTGTCTGCGGGGTCCTGAGTTTCATCCGGAAAAGGGCAAAGAAGACAAGCCCGGAAGAGTCTATCTGAGGGGGTGACTTCCCTGCTGCCCCCTAAGGGGGTGCCTTTCTCTTCTGGAGCAGTTTGGAATCTGGCAAACCCAGGAGCCAGGAAGTAAAACCCGAAGGAAGCCCGCAGCCCGCTCAGGGGCTGCTGTGTGTGTGTGTGTGTGTGTGTGTGTGTGTGTGTGTGTGTGTGTGCGTGTTGTGTGTGTGTGTGTGTTGTGGAAGGGTCCCCGGAAAGGTGAGCTCAGACTGAGAGGTTTGAGACCTTTTAGTCTGTGACCCACTGACACCCTCCTCCACCCGGCTTCCTCGGTCCTGAGAGCGGCCCACAGACAGCCTCCCGGACCCCCCTTGTCCTCCAGAAACCTTTACAAGCAGTGGAACTACAAGGGTCAGGGTCAGCCAAACTGCCTATGCTCAGTGAAGTTTCACACCCTGGGCAAAGCAAAGGGGCCAAAAGACCTCCCGATACTGCGATTATAATTATGTATACTATTAATACTGATAGAGACTTCTGGAAACCTCAACCCGTGGCCAGCTGTCTCCCGTTTCAGTCGGCTGGAACACCACCGCCATCCTGGCTCAGGTTCCTTCGGGGAGTGGGCCAGAGCAGCCTCCGGGCCTTCGGAGCTCAGAGGAGGTTGTGGGTAACTTTAACAACAGTGGAGGACCTTTTGAAAGTGCCTTATCACTTCTCTTTCAGACCCGGGGGGCCTGAGTCAGTCTTGGCCCTCCTCTAGGCCTGAAAAACCAGGTCCATATTCATGCTCCCATTTCCAGCGCTTGGGGGTCCTTTCCAGACATTGACCGCAGTCACAAAAACTATCCCAGTCTCACCTCCAGACAGGCGGCCTTCAGGCCTCTTCCAAGAGGTCGGGTGGAACTTTCTTCGGCAGTGTCCTCAGCGTCCCAAGTCCTGGCGCACAGAACGGAAAAGACTGGGATCTTGGGAAACACAGACACCAGCCTGCCCAGCGCCCCAAGTGTAGAGCGCCAGTCTCCTGGCTAGACAGGGTCGTAACTTCCTCCATACACGGGCTTGGAATGGGGACCAGTGTTGGAGCCATGGAAGCAGCATGTGTCTTTATCACCACTCTGGCTCCTGACTCCACAGTGGTGACCCCCAAGCCTCCTTCTGGTGTCTGTCTGCGGGTTAGACCAAGGGCACCCACCTTGATCTAGTTGGGCAGAAATAAGACCTAGAGCCGGGAGCTGCAGCCCCTTCTCCCTGGGGACAGGGATCAGCTAAGGTTAAAAAAACAATGATAGAAAATGTGATTTACTGACTGTCTAACTGAGGATGATTCCAGCAATATAACCAGAGAGAGAGAGAAACATAATAGCCAGTTATAACAATATGTTGATAACTTCTTAGTAAGGATTTTCGAGCTTCCCATTTTACCCTTTTGTGGGTTGTGAAATCTACTTAGAGTTGAGACCAGCAATATGTTTTTTAAAAAAAGAAAGAGCTAAACAATGGGAAAATTAGCCTCATTTTGGTCAAAGTTCGTTTTTGTAAGTTTTTGTGTTGGTTTTATATGGTATTGATTTAAAATGTATTCTTACTGTGATACATTGTGAGAAACGTATTTCTTGAAAACGCTGGTATGAAGGTCATTTGTTGCCCTTTATAAAGAAGCCCGGGGAGAAAGATGAGGCTTTCTACTCCCGTAAAGATTTACACCCTCGGAAACCCTGTACAGGGTCGCTATGGGTCGGAACCGACTCGACAGCACTTAACAACAACAACATAAAGAAGGCCTGAGGCCCAATGGTTCAGTATTCAGCTGCTAACTGTATGAAAGGTTGGTGGTTTGAACCCACTCAAAACCCTATGGGGCAGTTCTGTTCTGTCAACCCACTGCCGTTGGATCTATTCTGGCTCATAGTGACAATATATAAGGTTTTGAGACTAAATCTTTATCAGAGCAAACAGCCTCATCTTTCTTCCGTGGAAATGTTTCCATTAGCAGTCCAGTGCTTACCCTACAGTGCCACCAAGACTCCTTTGAACCACTTGTTGATGTTAAGCTCCTTCAAGTCAGTTCCAACTCATGGTCGACCCTGTATCGGGTATCCAAGGATTGGCTGGTGGGTTTGAACCCCCAACCTTGTGTCAGTAGTCCAGTGCTTATTCTAAAGCGCCACACCAGGAGCAAGGTGGTGGTGTTGTTATGTGTCGTGCAGTCGGTTCCGACTCATAGCGACCCTGTACAGGGTTTCCGAGGCTGTAAATCCTTACGGGGGCAGAAAGCCTCATCTTTCTCCCGTGGAACCGCTGGTAGTTTCGAACTGCTAACCTTGATGTTGGCAGCCCGATTCGTAACCACTACGCTACCAGAGCTCCTTAGGAGCAAGGTAGCAACCTATAAAATGCCTTTATATACAGGAGTGGTTTTAGAGGTCAGACTGTACGCATTTCAACCGACACCAAGCCCACGAATTGTGCGGATTCATTCAAAAGCGACTCGCTGAGGGCCAGTGGCCGGCTCACGGAAACGGCCAGGGCAGCTGTGGCCTCCCGTAGAAGCGCCTCTTCCGGGGGCAGGACTGCAGGCAGGCGGCCTGGGGGAGACCCGTCCCACACTGGGGCCTCGCTGCGCGCGTCGGGGCTGGGAGGCCTGGAGCTGGGATGGGCCGGGGCTCCTAGAGCACGGCGGCGCTGAAGGGTCGGGCTGCATCCGGAGGGGTTGGGCAGGAGCGGCCGGGGGCCCAAGGCCACTCTCACGCGCTGTGTCGCCCGCAGGCGGCGCTTACACGACGGAACCGGAGGAGAACAAGCGGACACGCACGGCCTACACGCGCGCGCAGCTGCTGGAGCTGGAGAAGGAGTTTCTATTCAACAAGTACATCTCTCGGCCGCGCCGGGTGGAGCTGGCTGTCATGCTGAACTTGACCGAGAGACACATCAAAATCTGGTTCCAGAATCGCCGCATGAAGTGGAAAAAGGAGGAGGACAAGAAACGCGGCGGAGGGGCGACTGGGAGTGGCGGGGGCGCGGAGCCCGAGCAGGACTGCGCGGTGACCTCAGGCGACGAGCTGCTGGCGCTGCCCCCTCCCACCGGGGGTACTGTGCCGCCCGCCGTCCCCGCCGTCTCCCGAGAGGGCCGCCTGCCACCTGGCCTCAACACGTCGTCGCAGCCCGCGAGCATTGCACCCCGGCGCCCGCAGGAACCCCGATGAGACGCAACAGGAGCCCCTGCCGGGTGGTCTTGACCTCCCGCGGACGAGGGGTGAGCGGGCCTAGGACCCCAGTGTGGACGACCGCCCCCAAACGGGAGGGGACAACCTGCGCCCCCAGGGACGCGTTCCATGCGGAGCGCTGTGGGCAATGCCGGCCGACCTGCGGGCAGGAGACGTGTTTTCAGAAATATCCGCGGGTCGTTTCTGGGGATAGTGTTGTTGGACAAGTCTCCCCCGCTGCCTGCAGCTCTCAGCAACCCCGAACCCCAGCTGGAAACGATTTAGAGAAGCCCACCATAGAAAGTACACGTTGGAACCGCCAGACGCCGGAAACAACCATCCCTACTCGGTATTATTCCATTTTAGTTTTAAAATTAATTGAAAAGAAAACAGCTGTGGTTTCAAAGATCCAGTGAAATCAACGCCATGTTTTCTATTTTCTTTATCCGTCTCTTCTCCTTTTGCTTCTTTAATTTAAAAATTCTTTGAACCTAGCCTCACATCTCACTAACCAGCCTCTTTCAACCTGAACCCCTTTCCTCTGAAGAAGATTAAATCCTACAGAGATGGCTGAACACTGCAGGCCACTGTTGGTCCTGAGGAGGCTGGATAGAGAGGGGGCCCAAGGCAAGGGACTTGGGGATGAAAAGTGGGCCCCTGAGGATGAAGATATTTGGAGCTCTCTCTTCCAGGTGTGATTTAGGTTCTGGTCTCAGCCTGGCAAACAGAGCCAAATGTAGGGCACTCCTGGAAATGGATATTCACATGACTTGGGGATTCTGACATCTTCAGAAATTTTTAGAAATTTAAATGAAATTTCCAGGCAGTGTCTGTGGTTGGAAAGTTTGGGAAACAGGTGGTTTTATTTAAAGTTTTAGAAAAGTATCTAAGTGTTCTTTAGGAACTGGTGTGGAGTCTCCAGATGGCTTCCCAGTTCCAAGGTCTGGACCTTGTGTTCAGATGATGTTTGTGGAAAACCCTTAATAAATACGGATGATGTGGAAAACGATGACAACGAATCCCACTTGTTTTATTTCATCCTTACCAATGGCGTGAGGATTTTTAAGATTTAAACCAGCTTTTCCAATTCGGTCCTACTAGCCTAGGAAATTAACCCATTAAATAAACACACGGAAGTAGGACTTGGGGTTGTGGCAGCTGAAGCCAGGCATGGTGAGTGGATTTTCTTTTCTTTTTAAAGAGTCACATTTCAAGATGAGTTTATTAATTTCTTACTATATTCTGGAAATGTGGGGGTTTGGAGTGCCCCCAGGTGAGTGCTGAAGGGGTGCAGTGCCAAGATCAGCCACTCTAAGGCACAGACCTGGAACCGCACCGCTGGGCCGGGCCTCTACTTTCTTTAGAGTGGCAGTCTCAGGAGGGCGAAGCCGTTTCCTTAGGAAAGAGTTTGTCTGGATGAGTTTACTCTCACATCCCCCGAAGGCCAAAAGTCTCTTGGGTTTGGTACAAAGAGGACCCACACAGTACTAGTGGACTTCCAACCCCCTGGACCACCCGGATTTCCTCCCGTCCCCTCTCTGCTGGCCTGCTGGTCTCAGTAGGGTTGTACACATGCCTGGATCTCCCAAGAGCTGACCCCAGGCCATCAACTCTCCCCTCAAAACCAAACCCTCTGTAGGCGTCTCATAGTGACAGGGCAGAGTAGAACTGCCTCATAAGGTTTTCAGGGCTGTAAATCTATGATAACTGTCACATCGTCCTCCCGGAGCAGTTGGTGGGTTTGAACCACCTAAGTTTCAGTTAGCAGTCCAGTGTTTAACCCACTGTGCCACTAGGATTCCTTGATTTGCTCCCAGGGCTCTCTACTTTTATTTTCTTTTGCAAAGAGCCCGAAGGTGTTTCTCTGTCCCAAGACAGCAAGTCATAAAGTCCTTCTGAAGAAAAATTAAATAAAACTCAGAGAAGAGTGTTTTCTCCTCAGTGAGGCGCTTCTGACGCTGCAGTCTCTCGGCGGCGCAGGGCTGGGCTCTGGAGTCTGACAGAGCTGGGGTCAGAGCCCAGGTCCCTCAAATATTGATTCATGGTTCTGATAAAAACTATTCAGTCACTCTGTGTCTCAATTTCCTCATCCAAAAGGTGGAAATGGAGCCCTGATGTGGCGCTGTGGGTTAATGCCTCAGACTGCACAGTCGTTTGAACTGCAAGGTCAGTGGTTCAAGCTCATCAGCGGCTCCTTGGAAACCCTTTACAGGGTCGCTATGGGTTGGAATCGACTCGACAGCACTTAACAACAACAAGGTGGAATACTATACCCAGAGAGTTGCTGTGAAATTTAAACCAGAGAGTACAAGAGGGCTTCATGAGGGACTGGAACAAAAAGATTATGGAACTTTTCCACTAACTTTTCCAAGCTCACTCGTTTGTGTAAAATGATTTGCTTTAGACTGTAGAAAATAGTCAACTCTACACAAATGTTGTTAGGAATTATCCGATGCCAGGTCCTAAGCCATTCTCACCATCATTGCTGCATTAGCTATGAGTTGTTGTTGTGCTGTGGCGTCGGTTCAGACTCATAGTGACCCTGTACAGGGTTTCCGAGGCTGTAAATCTTTACGGGAGCAGAACGTCTCCTTTTTCTCCCCTGGAACAGCTGGGAGTTTCGAACTGTTGACCCTGAGGTTCACAGCCCGATTCGTAACCACTACGCTACCAGAGCTCCTTAGCTATGAATACTACAAGTTTATAGCCATAAATATTAACTATGGTGTTTGATGATTCATATTATTTTTTGGAAGCAGCTCAGAACCACATCACATTGGCGCGTCCGTCCCCAAGACCTCACATTGTCGCCGCTGTTCTGACTCTTGTTTATATGAGGGGACTTCTAAAAGTTCATGGAAAATGCAATTAAAAGATAATAGGCAATGTCCACGAACGTTTTAAAGCCTCCTCGTACAGCCACTGAGCTTCGGGGAGCGCTTCCTAGTTTTGCAACACATTCCTCATAAATAAACTCCAGAGACGGAGTGTCCCCATCTTACAATAAGGAGGAGTGGAGGGTGTTCTGCCGACCCAGTAGGTGAAGGGGTGGGGACTGTCCAGCAGCTCTAGTGCCTCGAGTCCTCAGGAGTCACCGAGGTTTCCGGGCCCTCCCGCTGCAACTGATACTTTCTCCAAGACTCGGATCTGCAACATCGCGCGCGCTGGCGAGGAATCCCAAGTAGTCTAGGAGGGTTCCAGGGCTGACAAGAGGACAGGAAGAGACGCGAGCTGCTAGTGGTGGAGACTCCACCCATCCAGGGCCTGGCTAGAGTGTTCGGTTTTGTATAAAGCTCGACTCCGTCCCAGTGAAGAATTGTGCCGCGCGTAGAGATGAGCACTGGTCTCAGAGTCTAGCCTTGCTGGATTTGAATTCCGACCCTCCCAGACTGTTCAGGGTTTTGGACAGAGTTCTGAACCCCTAGTTCCCGCATCCGTACAATGGAATCTTCATGAGAATTCAATGAGCTCCTCTTTGGAGACGCTGGGACCTGACCTGGCGCGGAGGGGCCAGTAAGTGTGCTGGGATGCGCGGAGGAGATGCTCCTCGGAATGTTTGGAGGTGATGTCGTTGTTACCAGCAGAGGCGGGTCTTCCAACTTGGAAGCGAAGAAAAGGAATGAGTCCCCCCTCCCTCCTTCGCCCCCTCCCCCGTCGGGTCACCTCTGCTCCCCACACCCCAACCCCTCCTCTGAGTCAGGCCCTTAGGTGGCGACCCTCCGGGGATTGGACTTGTGAACCTCGAAGTGGACTGTGCATACCAACCTGGCCAAACGGACTGTGCACGCGGACGCTGGAAGCTCCAAGCCCACGCCAATGTGCGCCAGTCTCCCGACCGAGATGGCGGTGAGGACAACTCCCTGGAGTTAGAATCACAGCCAGCCGGGCCTCGGGAGGGGCCTGAGTCTGTAAATGCCGTCATCTACTCCAGGTCCGTGGCCTCCCTCCAATCTCATATAATAACCAAAGCCCGGAGGTCGGTGAAGGACCTTGGAGGGCGGTGGCCCGAGCGCTGGTTGCGCGTCGTTCCCTGCTGGCCTGCGCCTCCAAGTCTCCCTCTATTCCCTCTAGAATCCTCTGTACCGTAGACCCAAGCCCTGACACTCCCCTCGGAATCTTGGATCTGAACTGAGACCTGTTCCTGGAGTTCGCATGCTTGTCAACACCCGGCCCAACTCTTGGCGCGCACTGTGCGCGCTGTGTCTCCCGGAACTTCTTCCTGCTTGCCTCCTTCTCTCCCTCCATCCTTTCCCTCTTTCCTTCCTTCCTTCCTTCCTTCCCGCCTTCTCCGTCCTCTTCCTTCCTTCTGTCCTTCCGTGTCTCCGCTCCGTCTTTCTTTCTTCCCTCCCTTTCTTCCGTCTTCCCATCCATCTCTCTACCACCATGAAGTCCCTGGGTAAGCATGCAGTTAAGCTGGAAGCTATTAACTGAAAGGTTGGAGGTGCGAGCCCACCCAGAAGCGACTCACAAAATGTTCTACTGCTGAAAGATCACAGCCATGCAGCCCTGTGGAGCACAGTTCTACTGTGACAATACGGGGTCACCATCATCGGGAATCTACTCCACACCAACTGGTTTTGATTTTACCCTCCTGTCTACTTAGGAGCCTGGTGTTGCGGTGTGTAGCCGGAAGTTCGGTCTGAACCCCCAACTGATCACCGAAGTCCGAATTGACTGGGTGGCAGTGAGTTTGGTGGATTGTCTTGTTTGGTTCTAACACATACACACACACTCACACAGAAGTGGGGTGGAAGGCCTGGGGAACCACCCCGCTTTGCAGGCGGGGAACTGAGCTCTGGGGTTCTTCCTGAGCTCCCCCAAAGTCCCTGCATTGGGGATGTCTACTGCCAAAAACCATGCCTGGAAAATGAGCAAAATCTTCCTTTTTATCTTCCGCAGTAGTATTTCTTCCTATAGGTTTGCTAACACAGGTACACCAAGAAGTTCTCACCTTAAAGGCTAGATTCATACCACACAATCACAGGATTTGGTAGCTAGTA